ATATGGGCGATAAGGTGGGGTAGAGAGAGTGAGAGAGAGGGCGGTGGGAGGAGGACTGATCACGGGACAGAGAGAGAGAGAGATATAAATAGAGAGCTGGCGTGAGAGAGAAGGTTGAGTGAAAGGAAGAGAGAGGAAACGGGGATTCGTGAGAGAGAGAGAGTCGGAATCAGACAGGGAGAGATGGGCAGAGAGTGGGAGAGGGGAGGGAGTTGGAGAGAGGGGAGAGGAGAGGGGAGGAAAGGCAGTGGGGGGGGCAGAGATGAAACGATGTGCAGAGAGTGGGTAAGAGTAGCGAGAGAGTGGAGACGGGACAAAGAGGAGACAGTGGAGGAAATTAAGGGAAGCAGAGAGGGGGAGAGAGAGAGACATAGCGAGAGAGAGGAAAGAGTGGGAGAAAGAGGAAAGAGTGGGAGAAAGAGGAAAGAGTGGGAGAAAGAGGAAAGAGTGGGAGAAAGAGGAGAGGGAGCCGACGCTGGAAGCGGTTATGTTGGAATGTTCCCTGAACACGACTCTCACCGCTGTTCGGTAGAAGCGGGGGGTGTGTGGGGGGGGGGGGTTTGTTTATTTGGAGGAGGGGGTGGAGGGCGTCCGCGGAGAGTTGGCGGGGAGGTGGGGGTGCACAGATTTGGCTGCAGGTCTCTCGCAGCATTGTGGATTATTTTTTCAAGGAAAACGCGAAATTGAGCCGGTCTCATAATGGCCAACCATCACGTGATGAGGCAGGGGCGGATAGACCCCCCCCACCTCCTCTCCCCCCCACCTCCTCTCCCCCCCCACCTCCTCTCCCCACCTCCTCTCCCCCCCCACCTCTCCCCCCACCTTCTCTCCCCCCCACCACTTTGCCTCCCAGTGAGTCGATGAATTGTCGGGATTCGGGTTCGCGATCCGATTCGAGTGCACGCGGTGATCGCTGTTTGTGTGTTTACGTCTCTCGTTGTTTTCACCTCGTCGCGTGTGCTCCGCGATTTACTTTTTTTGTTGGCTACAGGTTTAGACGTAGCGTGAGCGCGCTGTGCACCAAAGACAAAGATCCCCCGTGTAGCCTGTAACAGACTGTTGGGGCAAGTGCTGTTAGCGAGCACCTACGAAGGCCGGCACGGCACACGAGAGGGTGGGTGGTCAGCACCACGCCCGGACGCCTTTGTCTCCCCAGCGGCGATGTTTAACAACCTCACCGGGTACTCATCTGAGGCTGAGTCGACCTAGGGGAGGCCCGGGACCGGTTCAGATAATCGTCGCCGGTGTTGGCCGTCAGCGGGCAAATCGAACTCGGGTCGCCGGGTTCGTAGCGCAGCGCGGCGCTAACCGCTGCACCACCGCTCCCCGCATGCGAGCGGTGCGAGGGATCGAGTCGATCGCCGTCGATGCGTCCGTGCCAGCCTACGGGCTGGTGATGGTGATGGGGCTGGTGATGAGACCAGGGCATGGTGATGGTGATGGGGCTGATGATGGTGATGGGGCTGATGATGGTGATGAGACCAGGGCATGGTGATGGGGCTGTGATGGTGATGGGGCTGGTGATGGGGATGGGGCTGGTGATGGGGCTGGTGATGGTGATGGGGCTGGTGATGAGACCAGGGCATGGTGATGGTGATGGGGCTGATGATGGTGATGGGGCTGATGATGGTGATGAGACCAGGGCATGGTGATGGGGCTGTGATGGTGATGGGGCTGGTGATGGGGATGGGGCTGGTGATGGGGCTGGTGATGGTGATGGGGCTGGTGATGGGGCTGGTGATGAGACCAGGGCATGGTGATGGTGATGGGGCTGATGATGGTGATGGGGCTGGTGATGGTGATGAGACCAGGGCATGGTGATGGGGCTGTGATGGTGATGGGGCTGGTGATGGGGATGGGGCTGGTGATGGGGCTGGTGATGGTGATGGGGCTGGTGATGAGACCAGGGCATGGTGATGGTGATGGGGCTGATGATGGTGATGGGGCTGATGATGGTGATGAGACCAGGGCATGGTGATGGGGCTGGTGATGGTGATGGGGCTGGTGATGGGGCTGGTGATGGGGCTGGTGATGGGGCTGGTGATGAGACCAGGGCATGGTGATGGTGGGGGTGGGGGGTGTTCGTGAGGTGGGGGCTGTGATGGTGATGGGGTTGGTCATAAGGGAGTAGTGATGGGGATTGGTGACGAGACGACGGCATGCTGATGGGGGCTGGTGATGAGATGGAGGATGGTGATGGGGGCTGGTGATGAGATGGAGGATGGTGATGGGACTCATGATGCGGCCCGGTGATAGAGTGGTGATGGAGGGGCTGGTGACGGGGTGGTGATGGGGCTGATGTGATGTGATAGAGACTATACAGGGCATCTGTGTCTTTGTGCATTTGTCTTTGTAGGTGTAGGTATGTATGTATGTGTGTGAGCGTATCCCTGTGTGTGTATCGCTATGTGTATGTAGCCAGCATCAGTGACGAATTCCTGAACACGTGTTGGGCCTCCCCTAGGTCGACTTGACCTTAAAATGAGTAACTGGTGCGGTGTGTAAAACATTAACACTGGGGAGATAAAGGCGGTCGGGCGTGGTGATGTCCACGCCACCCCTTCGTGCGCCGTACTCCCCTTGATACGTGCAACTCGCTCCACAGCACTTGCCCCGATAGTCTGGTGTAGGCTATATGGGGGATGTTTGTCTGGTTTTATATGTCACTTCACGCCGTGTTGACCGAGTTTCGGAAGGAATTTGATTCTCGTGAAAAGAGAAGCGCGGTTTATGGTAAACGTTGGACTTACTTGGCCTCGCCCTGGGAACGTTTTGTGAAGGCGAGAACTCGAGAAAGTGATGTTTCAGGGCCGGCGATAGGTTCAGGGCGAGTAGGGTTAGGTGGGTGAGTCGATAGGTGGGTGGAAAGATCAGCGAGTAGTTGGTGGTAGTTGGGTGGTTAGGTAGAGCGTAGGTCGGTGGGCGGGCAGGTAGATATGTGGATGGGACGGTTCGAAAGAAGTTCAACATACAGTGGTGGATTGGTAGGTGTTTGGATTGGTAGCGGATACGTGGGTAAGTGGAAGATAAGCGGATAGGTTGATTGGTGGGTAGGCGAGCATGTGGGGGAGTATATGGGTGGGTTGGTGGGTAGCTATCTGGGTGGGTAGCTATGGAAGTGGGTGGGTAGCTATATGAGTGGGTCGGTAGCTATGCGAGTGGGTAGCAATGGAAGTGAGTGGCTAGCTATATGAGTGGGTCGGTAGCTATGTGAGTGGGTGGATAGCTGTGTGAGTGGTTCGGTAGCTATGTGAGTGGGTGGGTAGATTGGCTATGTGAGTGGCTATGTTCATATAGCGCTGTGGGTGGGTAGATGGTGGGGGGTGTAAACGGGACCGCATGTCCACGTGTCGGCAGAGTGCATTACCCACGGCTGCTGTTCTGGGACAGTGGATATCTGGGAAATAAAATCCACACACGTTGGGTTCGCAGCACTTCCAGGAACAACAACAACAACAGCAGCAGCAACAACAGCAGCAGTATCATGATCATCAGCAGTATCATCAGCGACAGAGTATCAGCAGCAAGCAGCAGTATCGGTAGCAGCAGTATCGGCAGTGACATCAGCAGCAACATCATCAACAGCAGCAGTATCAGCAGCAGTATCAGTATCAGCAGCAGTATCAGCAGTAGTATTATTGGCAGTAAGGATATCATCAGCAGCACTGTCATCAGTAGCAGTATCAGCATTATTATCAGCAGCAGTATCAGTAGTATCATCAGCAGTAGTGTCAGCAGTATCAGCAGCAGCAGCAGTATCATCAGCAGCGGTATCAGTAGTATCATCAGCAGTAGTGTCAGCAGTATCAGCAGCAGTATCAACAGTATCATCAGCAGCGGTATCGGCAGTCTCATCAGCAGCAGCAGCAGTATCAGTAGCCGGTTGTCGCGTTTTTGCACCCAGGGGCACGTTGCGGTCTACTGAGACCCCCCACTCCACCCCCCCCCCCCCGGGACCCCCCACTCCACCCCCCACTCCACCCCCCCCCCCCCGGGACCCCCCACGCTTCAACGCCCTGACCGCACCCCTCCCCCGCCCGTCACCATCCCTCATCCGGGCGGCGGGTGGTGACGTCAGCCAGGTGAGGACAGGTGAGGACAGGTGAGGACAGGTGAGGACAGGTGAGTGCCTGCGCGCGTGGGTGCCAAGAGTCGCCCCAAGCCGGCGGTGCGGGCTCGCGGGATGAGTTCACCTCCTCTAGGGCGGCAGAGTTGACAGTCGCTCTCGAACCTCGTTCGGTGGCTCGGTTCGATCATTCCCCTTCCTTCCTTCCTCCCTCCCTCCGTCGTTCGTCAACCGTCACGCTCATTGAGACATTCCCTGGGTGGATTTCACTCGTTCGGTTACGCACTTGTGTTTTGTTGTTTAACGCAATCGTGTATTCACGCTGTCGGTGCGTGTCACTCATTCAGCCAGTTACTCGTTCACTCATCAATTCACCCAGTCATTCTTTTTTCGTTCACTCGTTCGTCAATTCGCTTGGTTACTTAGTCATTCCGTTGCTCGGTGATTAAAGCACTCATTCGCCCATTGACAACTTCATTCGCCCAATTCAGTTTACTCGTTCGCTCACTCACTCACTCATTTACGCGTTCGCTCACTCACTCACCGGTGTTCGAGTGATAATAAGTGCTGCTGGCTGTGACATGATCATCCTGCCGATGATGAACGGGAATTTACCCCCCAGCCCCTTGCCCCCCACCCCCCCAAAGTCTGTCCGCCACTTGCCGCTCCCCCGGGTCACGTCTGCAGCTCTGCGCATTGACCCACCCCCCCCCTCTCACCCCCCGCCTTTCCACCTCCAGAAGTGTGGGGGCGGGTTGCGCTTCCTCACCAGAGCGCCGTCTCCGTGATGACGCCCGGCTGCTCCCACCTCCTTCCCCCCGCCCCTACTCCCCCACCTCCACCGTCTACCCCCCCCCTGCCCCTCCCACAGCTCCTCCCGCCCCCCCCCCCGTCACCTCCTTACCCCCCACCACGAGCGATGATGTCACTGACCCACGGCTCTGCGAAGTGGGGGAAGTCGAGGGAATCGGTCAGAGCCGCCGCGTCCTTAAGACGGAGGGAGGCGCGGGAGACTGAACGGAGCGGGAGACGCGGCGCGGGGAGAGACGCACGGAGAGGCAGAGGAGAGAGACACACAGACAGACACACAGGGAGACGGACAAAGAGAGACGGCGCAGAGAGAGAGAGAGAGACGCGGAGACGGGGAGAGGCGCAGTGGGGGGTGAGACACGCCTTGTGTCTTGTTCGCCATTCCGAATCGCTGTTGTTTAAGCAGCGGCAGCAGCAGCAGCATCATCAGCAGAGGCAGCAGCATCAGCAGAGGCAGCAGCAGCAGCAGCAACAACAACTAGAGCAGCAGACAGAAGCAACGTCAACCGCTGCATCAGCTACACAAACATCAGCAGCGTCAGCAGCACAAACATCATCAGCAGCGTCAGCAGCACAAACATCATCATCAGGAGCAGCAGCAGGAGCTCGTGGAGGTCCCAGCCGAGATGGTGTCTGCAGCAGCTGGGATCTCAGGTCGGTGGGGTCCCGGGGGCACCTTGGAGTGTGGGGGGGGGGATCTGAGAGTGGGGGGTTTTGGGTGAGTAGGACCTGGGAGATCGGGGTGGGACCTTGGACACGTGAGTCTTGAGTAGGACCTGGGAGTTCGGGGTGGGACCTTGGACACGTGAGTCTTGAGTGGGACCTGGATGGGTGCCGTCTCAATGGGTGCTCGCTAACAAAACTTGCCTCAACAGTCTGGTGCAGGCTGCACGGTCGGGGATCTTTGATGGATGCGGCGTTCACGGACTGCCGTGGCTGGTAGTAAGCACTGATCTGAACCATAGTTCCAATCCTGGCCTTGAGGTCATCACCTCCAAACCTCCATCAGCTAAAGCCTCCCGTAAATCACGTGACTTGTATGTGGCCGCAGCCCCCCCCCCCCCCCCCCCATTCGGAACCCCCTCCCCTCTCCCCGCCTCCTGTGAAAACAGACGCCGCTCCATCGTGCAGATAACATCTGCTCGCTCCTTCTCTCGTTTCCCCCCTCTTCCCTCCCCTCTCGCCATCACCACCGCCACCCTCTCATCATCATCACCACCGCCACTCTGTCATAATCATCACCACCGCCACCCTCTCACCACCATCATCATCACCACCGCCACCCTCTCACCATTATCACCGCCACCCTCTCACCATCATCATCACCACCACCGCCACCCTCTCACCATCATCACCACCACCGCCACCCCTTCACCATCATCATCATCACCACCGCCACCCCCTCACCATCATCACCACCGCCACCCTCTCACCACCATCATCATCACCACCGCCACCCTCTCACCATCATCACCGCCACCCTCTCACCATCATCACCACCACCGCCACCCCTTCACCATCATCATCATCACCACCGCCACCCTCTCACCACCATCATCATCACCACCGCCACCCTCTCACCATCATCATCACCACCGCCACCCCCTCACCATCACCACCGCCACCCTCTCACCATCATCACCACCACCGCCACCCCTCTCACCATCATCACCACCACCGCCACCCTCTCACCATCATCACCACCACCGCCACCCTCTCACCATCATCATCACCACCACCGCCACCCTCTCACCATCATCATCACCACCGCCACCCTCTCACCATCATCATCACCACCGCCACCCTCTCACCATCATCACCACCACCGCCACCCTCTCACCATCATCATCACCACCGCCACCCTCTCACCATCATCATCACCACCGCCACCCTCTCACCATCATCATCACCACCACCGCCACCCTCTAATCCCCGACTTCTAGTCCACATCTTTGACTCTGCTCCCCTTCCAATGGCGGAGCCAGGATTTTCAGGTCGAAGGGGGGGAAACCCCTCCAGCAATGAAAAATGATAGAGGAGTTGTTAGTAAGTAAGGAGTTGTTAGTAAGGAGTTGTTAGTAAGTAAGGAGTTGTTAGTAAGGAGTTGTTAGTAAGGAGTTGTTAGTAAGTGAGGAGTTGTTAGTAAGTAAGGAGTTGTTAATAAGGAGTTGTTAGTAAGTAAGGAGTTGTTAGTAAGGAGTTGTTAGTAAGTAAGGAGTTGTTAGTAAATAAGGAGTTGTTAGTAAGTAAGGAGTTGTTAGTAAGTAAGGAGTTGTTAGTAAATAAGGAGTTGTTAGTAAGTAAGGAGTTGTTAGTAAGTAAGGAGTTGTTAGTAATAAGTAAGGAGTTGTTAGTAAGTAAGGAGTTGTTAGTAAGTAAGGAGTTGTTAGTAAATAAGGAGTTGTTAGTAAGTAAGGAGTTGTTAGTAAGTAAGGAGTTGTTAGTAAGTAAGGAGTTGTTAGTAAGTAAGGACTTGTCAGTAAGGAGTTGTTAGTGAGTAAGGAGTTGTTAGTGAGTAAGGAGTTGTTAGTAAGTAAGGAGTTGTTAGTAAGTAAGGAGTTGTTAGTAAGTAAAGAGTTGTTAGTGAGTAAGGAGTTGTTAGTAAGTAAGGAGTTGTTAGTAAGTAAAGAGTTGTTAGTGAGTAAGGAGTTGTTAGTAATAAGTAAGGAGTTGTTAGTAAGTAAGGAGTTGTTAGTAAGTAAGGAGTTGTTAGTGAGTAAGGAGTTGTTAGTAAGTAAGGAGTTGTTAGTAAGTAAGGAGTTGTTAGTGAGTAAGGAGTTGTTAGTGAGTAAGGAGTTGTTAGTAATAAGTAAGGAGTTGTTAGTAAGTAAGGAGTTGTTAGTAAGGAGTTGTTAGTAATAAGTAAGGAGTTGTTAGTAAGTAAGGAGTTGTTAGTAAGTAAGGAGTTGCTAGTAAGTAAGGAGTTGTTAGTAAGCAAGGAGTTAGTAAGGAGTTGTTAGTAAGTAAGGAGTTGTTAGTAAGTAAGGAGTTGTTAGTAAGTAAGGAGTTGTTAGTAAGTAAGGACTTGTCCCTTGCTTGTTATTCGACGCGTGTGCGGCGATGACGCAGCCATCGATCGAGGGTCGAATTCGAACCGCGTTCTGTGATCGGCATCGCGCTCGCTGAAGGTGTTGATGCCTTCAGGCAAGTCGTGTACTGGATAGGCAACTGCGCACAGTTCTGTGAGTCACTTATAACCGCGTTGCCGTTACTTATTGCCAATTATGGACTCAGACTATTGTCCTATCATCTCATAGAATCCCTGGCACTTAATAATATGCTGCACAGTGGCAGTGGGGGTGGCAAAATGCCGATTTATTATTAATAAACCCCAATGATCCGATCGAAATTAGGGATTTCGATCGGATCATTTGGGGGGCACGTGCCCCCCCCCCTTCCCGTGGTGTTGCACGGTAAACTTCCTTGTTAGCCCTGTCCCAGAGAGTAACCCCCCCCCGGCTGTGGTCCACTAACCTTTCACATTCGTCAGGTTTGACTTTAACTTAACACCCGGCCCCAAGCTTCACCGCAGAAGTAGAATTTGTTTCCAAGCCGAAATGTTCACCCTACAACGGCTGTGTGTGTGGGGGGGGGGGGGGAGGGAGCGGTGGTGCAGCGGTTAGCGTGCTGCTCTACGAACCCGCGGACCCGAGTTCGATTCCTCCACACGGCCACCAAGACCTGTGACCATTATCTGAAACCGGTCCTAAGCCTCCCCTAGGTCGACTCAGCCTGAAACAATGTGTTGCTGGTGCGATGCGTAGTAAACATCGCCACTCGGGAGCCAAATGCGGCCGCGTGGTGCCTGCGAACCTCGTGCGGTGCGCCGGCCTCCATCGGTGCTCATCGCTCGCAGCACTTGCCTCAACATTATGTGAAGGCTATACGGGGGAGCTTTACGCGCGTCCCCCAGCCCCCCCCCCCTTCGCGCGCGGTCCCCCCCCCCCCCCCCCGTGATGCATTCCCTGACGCCGTAAACATGCGCGCATACACACACAACAAAGAGCCCCCCCCCCCCGTATAGCCTTCAACAGACTGCTGGGGCAAGTGCTGTTGGCAAGTAGCAGCGGCACCTGTGAAGGCCGACGGGATTTGGTGGCCGGGACCACGCCCGCCCGGCCGCCCGCCCAGCCGCCCGCCCGGCCGCCCGCCCGGCCGCCTTTGTCTTCCCCAGTGCCGATGTTTGCAGCAACTGAGATACATTTCTAACCACACTCACCACGCTCGCTCACTGCTCGTCAGAATATTCCTCCGCTACCCCGAGAGTCTGCAACTCCCCGTGCCCCGGCAATCCGTGCTGCCGGCTTCCTCCCTTCTAGTCCGGACTCGTGCGTGCCCGTGGTTTCCTTCACTCTGCCCACGACTGCGTCTCTCTCTGCCTCTCACAGATTCGAATCGAGACCCACCGACTCGCATAGAGAAGCCTTAAGCTCGTGTAAGAGACCCATCACCTCGTCTAGAGACCCATTCCTGAGCTTCCCGTTTTCCCTATTCCGATTGTCCCATCTCATCTCTTCCATAGACGCACACAGAGACCCATAGACTCGCACAGAGACTCCAAACACCCACACAGACACCTATGAACTCATATAGAGAGCTATAAACTCCTACAGAGACTTATGGATATCAGGCTAAGCTCAAGACCATTCTGACACCCTCTGTTTTATAACTGATTTTTGTTTTCTCCATGAGACAACTTCGGTCAATACGCACTGGGGCTACAGTGGGGTGTGGTTGTGGTTGGGCTGGGGTGTGGTTATGAATGTGGATAAATGGTTGTGCACAGGTGGTTGTGGCCGATATGTGATTGTACCTCGGAGGTTGTAGCCATGCCGTTGTGGATGGATAGTTGTGACTATGTGGTGATGGTTTTGTGGTTGTGGAAGGGTTTTGGTCGTGGCTGTGTGGTTGTGGCTGGGCGGTTACTGCCGAGAGTGGTGGCCGCGTAGTTGTGTGGTGGTGGCCCCGTGGTTATGGTTGCTAGTTTGGATCTGGTGGAAGCGGTGACGATGATGATGAAGAAGATGACAATGATGATGATGATGAAGAAGATGACAATGATGACGATGAACTGGAGATAGGAATATGTTCCTGAGATCATCGTGGCCTTGATTAAGAACTTTTGTATGGGTCATTAGGGTCATGGTCTTGAGATAGGGCATTGAGTTGGCGTTAAGATCTTGAGTTAGAGCCTTGTGCTAGGGTTAGGGTTTTGCATTCGGTTTAGATTCAGGGTCTTGCATTATGAACTTGGGTTCATCATCATCACGTGCCATTTGCGACCACGTTCTTCCGTCTTGTGCCAATATGGCTCAAGTAGTGGCCACATCTTCCGGGGATTGATATCTCGTGATGTCGCCATCAATCCATTCTCTCTTTCCGGTCCCTTGCATTTTTCCCAACAACAACGTTGCCTTTTTTCTCCCTTCCACGTTGCTCACTCTTTGGGATGCAGCTCAGATGCAGCAGCAGTATCGTTCCGTAGCAGTACATTTCGAGGTTCAGGGTATTTAGTTTGGGGTTTCATCTCGGTCATGCTCTTGGCTTCGGGCTTGGCTCAGGTTTTTTTTTCGAGGCAAGGGGTGGTCACAGACAACGTGGCCGCCTCTGCGGGCGGGCGACTCTGAGTCGGTGGCTATCAGCGCCGCGTGTTG